TTAATGGGGTCAAATCTGAATGGGGATTAGTCACTAGTGGCATTCCACAAGGATCAATTTTAGGCCCTCTCTTGTTCATAATTTACATTAATGACCTTGATGAAGGAATTACAAGTGACATGAGTAAATTTGCTGATGATACAAAGATAGGCCGTATGATTCATTCTGAGGAGGATATCAATGAACTCCAGTTGGATTTGGACAAATTGATGTCTTGATCTGAAAAATGGCAGATGAAGTTCAATGTGGATAAGTGTAAGGCACTAGTCCTTGGTAATGAAAATAACCCTAGAAGCTATAAACTAGGTGAAGTAGAGCTTGATCATACAGAATGTGAAAAAGATTTGGGAGTTATGGTAAGCAGAAATCTAAAGCCAAGATAGCAGTGCCTAAGTGCGCGCAACAAGGCTAACAGATTACTAGAATTTATCTCAAGAAGTATTAGTAACAGAAGTCCAAAAGTTACTTTACAGCTCTATGCATCACTAGTGAGGCCTCATTTAGATTATGCCACTCCGTTTTGGTCTCCTTACTACAGGATGGATATATAATCATTGGAGAACATACAGAGAAGAATGACTAAAATGATTTACTGTACAAGGAATCTCCCGTATAAAGATAGAAAGCCTTGAATCTCCACTCTCTGGAGAGACGTAGAATAAGGGGAGAAATCATCGAAGTGTATAAGTGGATGATGGGCATAAACAAAGGTGATATTAATAAAGTACTGAGGGTGTCGAACCAGGTAAGAACCCTACTCTTTCGAGAAGGGTGATCGAGGCTAGGACCTTGGGTAACTTTAATAAGAGATTGGACAAATATATTACCGAGAAGGGCTGGGTTTGATTGGTGTCATTGGGTACGGGAGTAAATTCTTGGGTAGCTTTGGGTTTACCAGGAGTTCACCTGGAAAGGGTTTCGGGGGTCAACGCCCCCGCGGCCTGGTCTGAGACCAGGCCTCATGGTCTGATCAACCAGGCTGTTACTGCTGGCCACACACAAGCTGACGTACGAACCACAGCCCGGTTGGTCAGGTACTGACTTTAGGTGCCTGTCCAGTGCCTTCTTGAAGACAATCAGGGGTCTATTGGTAATCCCCCTTACGTATACTGAGAGGCAATTGAACAGTCTTGGGCCCCGGACACTTATTGTGTTACCTCTCAGTGTACTCGTGGCACCCCTGCTTTTCATCGGGGGAATGTTGCATCTCCTGCCGAGTCTTTTGCTTTCATATGGAGTGATTTTCGTGTGTAGGTTTGGTGTTGATCCCTCCAGGACCTTCCAAGTGTATATTATCATGTATCTCTCTCGCCTGCGTTCGAGGGAATACAGATCAAGGACCTTCAACCGTTCCCAGTAGTTTAGGTGCCTCATCGCACTTATGTGTGCCGTGAAAGTTCTTTGTACACTCTCCAGGTCTGCAATGTCGCCAACCTTGAAGGGGGCAGTTAGTGTACAGCAGTATTCCAGCCTAGAGAGCACAAGCGATTTGAAGAGAATCATCATGGGCTTGGCATCCCTAGTTTTGAAGGTTCTCATTATCAAACCATACCCCGGCCGGGATTGAACCCGCGGTCATAGAGTCTCAAAACTCCAACCCACCGCGTTAGCCACTACAAGTGTGACCATGGCGTAATAGCGCACAAAATGCGTGCTAAAGGAATAACAGGAAAAGTCGGTCGATGGATCTATAATTTCCTCACTAACAGAACACAGAGAGTAGTCGTCAACAGAGTAAAGTCCGAGGCAGCTACGGTGAAAAGCTCTGTTCCACAAGGCACAGTACTCGCTCCCATCTTGTTCCTCATCCTTATATCCGACATAGACAAGGATGTCAGCCACAGCACCGTGTCTTCCTTTGCAGATGACACCCGAATCTGCATGACAGTGTCTTCCATTGCAGACACTGCAAAGCTCCAGGCAGACATCAACCAAATCTTTCAGTGGGCTGCAGAAAACAATATGAAGTTCAACGATGAGAAATTTCAATTACTCAGATATGGTAAACATGAGGAAATTAAATCTTCATCAGAGTACAAAACAAATTCTGGCCACAAAATAGAGCGAAACACCAACGTCAAAGACCTGGGAGTGATCATGTCGGAGGATCTCACCTTCAAGGACCATAACATTGTATCAATCGCATCTGCTAGAAAAATGACAGGATGGATAATGAGAACCTTCAAAACTAGGGAGGCCAAGCCCATGATGACACTCTTCAGGTCACTTGTTCTATCTAGGCTGGAATATTGCTGCACACTAACAGCACCTTTCAAGGCAGGTGAAATTGCCGACCTAGAAAATGTACAGAGAACTTTCACGGCGCGCATAACGGAGATAAAACACCTCAATTATTGGGAGCGCTTGAGGTTCCTAAACCTGTATTCCCTGGAACGCAGGAGGGAGAGATACATGATTATATACACCTGGAAAATCCTAGAGGGACTAGTACCGAACTTGCACACGAAAATCACCCACTACGAAAGCAAAAGACTTGGCAGACGATGCACCATCCCCCCAATGAAAAGCAGGGGTGTCACTAGCACGTTAAGAGACCATACAATAAGTGTCAGGGGCCCGAGACTGTTCAACTGCCTCCCAGCACACATAAGGGGGATTACCAACAGACCCCTGGCAGTCTTCAAGCTGGCACTGGACAAGCACCTAAAGTCAGTTCCGGATCAGCCGGGCTGTGGCTCGTATGTTTGGTTTGCGTGCAGCCAGCAGCAACAGCCTGGTTGATCAGGCTCTGATCCACCAGGAGGCCTGTCTCAGACCGGGCCGCGGGGGCGTTGACCCCCGGAACTCTCTCCAGGTAAACTCCAGGTAAGACCAGCTAGCCACAAGATTCGTCCAACTAGGTATATTTCTACACCATAGGAAGGTTAGCACAGGCACCACTGTGACCACAAATGCAAGTTTTTACAGACGATACTCCAGCTAGCGTGGCCGTGACGAACTCTAGCTCAAGTCCCTTCACTGCCGTCAACATGACTCACGAAATCGTAATAACACGATTGCAAACAAACCATACCCCTGCCGGGATTGAACCCGCGGTCATAGAGTCTCAAAACTCCAGCCCGTCGCGTTAGCCACTAGACCAGCTAGCCACATAAGATTCGTCCAACTAGGTATATTTCTACACCATAGGAAGGTTAGCACAGGCACCACTGTGACCACAAATGCAAGTTTTTACAGACGAATCTCCAGCTAGCGTGGCCGTGACGAACTCTAGCTCAAGTCCCTTCACTGCCGTCAACATGACTCACGAAATCGTAATAACACGATTGCAAACAAACCATACCCCGGCCGGGATTGAACCTGCGGTCATAGAGTCTCAAAACTCCAGCCCGTCGCGTTAGCCACTAGACCAGCTAGCCACATAAGATTCGTCCAACTAGGTATATTTCTACACCATAGGAAGGTTAGCACAGGCACCACTGTGACCACAAATGCAAGTTTTTACAGACAAATCTCCAGCTTATGTGGCTAGCTGGTCTAGTGGCTTACGTGACGGGCTGGAGTTTTGAGACTCTATGACCGCGGGTTCAATCCCGGCCGGGGTATGGTTTGTTTGCAATCGTGTTATTACAATTTCGTGAGTCATGTTGACGGCAGTGAAGGGACTTGAGCTAGAGTTCGTCACGGCCACGCTAGCTGGAGATTCGTCTGTAAAAACTTGCATTTGTGGTCACAGTGGTGCCTGTGCTAACCTTCCTATGGTGTAGAAATATACCTAGTTGGACGAATCTTATGTGGCTAGTGGTCTAGTGGCTAACGTGACGGGCTGGAGTTTTGAGACTCTATGACCGCGGGTTCAATCCCGGGCGGGGTATGGTTTGTTTGCAATCGTGTTATTACGTTCTCATTATCCATCCTATTATTTTCCTAGCGGATGATGTAGATACATTGTTGTGGTCTTTGAAGATGAGATCCTCTGTTCATTATATACCCTGGCACATTTTTAATTTCTTCAAGTTTTCCATATCTGAGTAGTTGAAATTTCTCCTTGTTGAACTTCATATTGTTTTGAGTGGCCCATTCGAAGATTTGGTTGATGTCCGCTTGGAGTCTCGCAGTGTCTTCGATGGAGGTCACTGCCATGGTGATCCGGGTGTCATCCGCTAAGGAACTATGGCTTACATCTCTAAGTCAGAAATGAGGATGAGGAATAGAATGGGGGCGAGTACTGTGCCTTGTGGAACAGAGCTTTTTACGATGGCTGCCTGGGATTTTACTCTGTTTACTACTACTCTTTGTGTTCTACTTGTCAGAAAGTTGTAGATCCATCTACCAACCTTTCACGTTATTCCTTTATCCCGCATTTTGTGTGCTATTACACCATGGTCACACTTGTCGAAAGCTTTTGCAAAGTCTGTGTATACTACATCTGTATTTTGCTTATCCTCTTCAGCATCTAGGACCTTGTCATAGTGGTCCAGTAGTGAGACAGGCAGGAGCGACCCGCTCCAAACGCGTGTTGCCCTGGGTTGTGTAACTGATGGGTATCTAGGTGGTTGGCTATCTTGCTTCTTAGAACCCTCTAAAAGATTTTTATGATATGGGATGTTAGTGCTATCGGTCTGTAGTTCTTTGCAATTGCTTTACTGCCACCTTTGTAGAGTGGGGCTATGTCTGTTGTTTTTAGTGTGTGTGTGGGATAACCCCTGTGTCCATGCTCCCTTCTCCATAAAATGGTGAAGGCACGCGATAGGGACTTCTTGCAGTTCTTGATGAACACGGAGTTCCACGAGTCTGGGCCTGGGGCAGAGTGCATGGGCATGTCATTAATTGCCTCTTCAAAATCTTGTGGAGTTAGAATATCCGAGAGTTTTGGGATGACCAAATTTTGGGTTTCATTCATGAAGAATTCATTTGGATTGTCGATGCTTAGCGTGGGCAGTGGATCGCTGAACACTGAGTCACACTGGGACTTAAGTATCTCACTCATCATTTCTTGGCTGTCATCTGTGTATGTCCCATCCCGCCTAAGCAGGGACCCAATACTGGATGTTGTTTTTCCTTTAGATTTGGCATAAGAGAAGAAGTATTTTTTTTTTCAATTTCCTTTATGGCTTTTAGTTCTTCCTGTGATTCTTGTCTCCTATAAGGTTCCTTCAGCTTAAGTTCGATATTTGCAATTTCATTGACTAGTGCTTCCCTTCGTATTTCAGATATATTGACCCCACTCAGCAGCTCTGTGACTCTTCGCCTTCGTCTGTATAGGGAGTGTCTCTGTCTTCTAGTTTACATCTTCTCTTTCTTTTTCTTAATGGAATGTGTCTTGAGCAGATCTCAAGAACCACAGAATTCATTTTTTCAAGGCAGATGTTCGGGTCCGTGTTGTTTAGGATATCTTCCCAGCTTGTTTCATTAAGGATATGGTTTACTTGGTCCCATTGTATCTTTTTGTTATTGAAATTTAATTTCGTGAAGAGACCTTCATGACTGCTTACATTTTGCTGGTCCGGAGACCTGTGCACACATATCTGTACTTCTGTTATGTTGTGATCCGAGTGAATTGTCTGTGATACAGTTATATTACGTATCAGATCATCATTGTTAGTGAAGATGAGGTCCACTGTATTTTCTAGTCTTGTAGACTCAACTATTTGCTGGTTTAAAGTGAATTTGTTGCAGAGGTTTAGTAGTTCGTGTGTGTGTGTGAATTTTCATCTGAGCTGCCTCCCGGAGTGATCTCTGCTAAAACATTGTTTTCTATACTCTTCCATTTTAGGTGTCTCAGGTTGAAATCTCCTGTTTGTGGCAGGAGTTGGGAGATTTTCCAGACAGTAGTCAATTTTCTCAAGTTGCTCCTGGAATTGCTGGGAAGTTGCATCTGGAGGCTTGTATACTACCACAATGACAAGGTTTTGATTTTCGATCTTTACCGCCAAAACTTCAACTACATCATTTGAGGTGTTTAGTAGTTCTGTGCAAATGAGCGACTCTGTGACATAAAGGCCAACCCCCCCCCTCCCCTTGTTGCCTGTTTAGTCTGTCGCATCGGAATAGGTTATAACCTGGGATCCATATTTCGTTGTCATAATTATTATTATTATAATCAAAAAGAAGCGCTAAGCCACAAGGGCTATACAGCGCTTGTTTCCCATAGTCTGGCTGGTCTGTCTTCTAGTCCCCTTTAGATGATATGCCTGGCAGTATGCATTGTAGCATTTTCTTTCAGTAATTGATGAGTGACACATTTCTGGGTGAAATAGGTTGCAAGAAAGGAAGCTCTACTCTCCTGTTGTCATGTGGGTGTGGCATTTTTTGGGATGGTCAAAGGTGCTTGTCCCACTTGTTTTACCAGATATACCGTGCTTGCAGGTACGCAAGGCATATTATTTACATAGATTGTACTTCTGTTTGCCCTATCACGAGCCTTTTCCATCCTATGGAGAGGGAGCATGGACACGGGGGTCGTCCCTCAGTTACTAAAAACAACAGACATAGCCCCACTCCACAAAGGGGGCAGTAAAGCAACAGCAAAGAACTACAGATCAATAGCACTAACATCCCATATCATAAAAATCTTTGAAAGGGTCCTAAGAAGCAAGATCACCACCCATCTAGAAACCCATCAGTTACACAACCCAGGGCAACATGGGTTTAGAACAGGTCACTCCTGTCTGTCTCAACTACTGGATCACTACGACAAGGTCCTAAATGCACTAGAAGACAAAAAGAATGCAGATGTAATATATACAGACTTTGCAAAAGCCTTCGACAAGTGTGACCATGGCGTAATAGCGCACAAAATGCGCGCTAAAGGAATAACAGGAAAAGTCGGTCGATGGATCTATAATTTCCTCACTAACAGAACACAGAGAGTAGTCGTCAACAGAGTAAAGTCCGAGGCAGCTACGGTGAAAAGCTCTGTTCCACAAGGCACAGTACTAGCTCCCATCTTGTTCCTCATCCTCATATCCGACATAGACAAAGATGTCAGCCACAGCACCGTGTCTTCCTTTGCAGATGACACCCGAATCTGCATGACAGTGTCTTCCATTGCAGACACTGCAAGGCTCCAGGCGGACATCAACCAAATCTTTCAGTGGGCTGCAGAAAACAATATGAAGTTCAACGATGAGAAATTTCAATTACTCAGATATGGTAAACATGAGGAAATTAAATCTTCATCAGAGTACAAAACAAATTCTGGCCACAAAATAGAGCGAAACACCAACGTCAAAGACCTGGGAGTGATTATGTCGGAGGATCTCACCTTCAAGGACCATAACATTGTATAAATCACATCTGCTAGAAAAATGACAGGATGGATAATGAGAACCTTCAAAACTAGGGAGGCCAAGCCCATGATGACACTCTTCAGGTCACTTGTTCTATCTAGGCTGGAATATTGCTGCACTCTAACAGCACCTTTCAAGGCAGGTGAAATTGCCGACCTAGAAAATGTACAGAGAACTTTCACGGCGCGCATAACGGAGATAAAACACCTCAATTACTGGGAGCGCTTGAGGTTTCTAAACCTGTATTCCCTGGAACGCAGGAGGGAGAGATACATGATTATATACACCTGGAAAATCCTAGAGGGACTAGTACCGAACTTGCACACGAAAATCACTCACTACGAAAGCAAAAGACTTGGCAGACGATGCACCATCCCCCCAATGAAAAGCAGGGGTGTCACTAGCACGTTAAGAGACCATACAATAAGTGTCAGGGGCCCGAGACTGTTCAACTGCCTCCCAGCACACATAAGGGGGATAACCAACAGACCCCTGGCAGTCTTCAAGCTGGCACTGGACAAGCACCTAAAGTCAGTTCCTGATCAGCCGGGCTGTGGCTCGTACGTTGGTTTGCGTGCAGCAAGCAGCAACAGCCTGGTTGATCAGGCGCTGATCCACCAGGAGGCCTGGTCACAGACCGGGCCGCGGGGGCGTTGACCCCCGAAACTCTCTCCAGGTAAACTCCAGGTAAACTGTTGGTGCATTTACTTTTCCTGTTTCCTCAATATCTTTTACCCCTGTATGGATATCAGTGCTTCCACCAGGTTTTGCTGGTAGTGTGTCGACACTGTTCCCTGAGGCCTCATCCTATTTTGATCCATCTCCAGCAGTATCTTTATTTTGATCCTCTGTGAACTGAATAAGGTTGGCTTCAGTGTCCTCCAGGACAACACACTAGTACCCTCACGAGCTCTATCTTCTAAGACATCACAAGCACCCTCAGGAGCACTTTCCTCCAGGACAACACTAGCACCCTCAGCACTGTCCTCCAGGACAGCACTAGCACCCTCAGGAGCAGTCAATGACAGCCCCGTCCCTACCACCCATATATTTTTCCCAGCTGTCATACCATGCTGACATGTCTTTCAAGAAGGATGTTTCATTGGAGTTCTTGTCTTTTAATATAGATGTCATTTCCTCATACAGGTGTATCTCGTTTGGGCAGACCCAAAAACATCTCTCACGAAATTGTAATGACACGATTGCAAACAAACCATACCAAGGGCGGGGTTTGATCCCGCGGTCAGAGAGTCTCAAAACTCCAGACCGTCGCGTTAACCACTGGACCAGCTAGCCACAATAAGATGGTGTAGAAATATACCTAGTTGGAAGACTTTTATTGTGCCTAGCTGGTCCAGTGGCTAACGCGACGGTCTGGAGTTTTGAGAGTCTCTGACCGCGGGATCAAACCCCACCCGTGGTATGTTTTTTTTTTTTTTCAAAAACATCTGAGTATAATTATGTCTAGTGTGATCACTAGTTTAAAATCCCTGCATATACTATGGGACCATTGACCACACAGATGGCAAGCAATCCAGGCCTGTCTTCATCCCTTACTCTTTCTGCAGACTACACAGATCTTCAGGGTAGTGTTCATCTTAGAAAATTCATGCTTTATCTGCGCGTTAATCTTCCACATTAGCTAAACAACTCTCCTTGCTAGCTAGTCTATAATTCCACGATGTATTTAATTTTTTGTAACAGTTCTTCCGATTTGGCTTTATTTCCAACGAAACCGTTTGAATCCGCCCGAATCTGGCTTTATTTCCACAAAAAGCGTTCGAATCCAGCGAAATCCGTTTGAATCCGTCTGAATCCAGCGAATCCGGTAATCCAGCTAGTGGATCACTGTATATCTTTTTCCTAATAAGCTCCTTAATATAGACCTGTCTATCTGTATTGTAACTATTTGTTATAGTTACTGTTTGAGTGTTTGATAGGGAGCGTAGAGCCCTGTCAGTTAGTGAAACTAGTCAGAGGATGCATTGTTATCAACGAATCCGTTTGAATCCGGTCGTTGGATGAATCCGGGTAGATTCGGATTAACTCACCGGGTAATGTTGGACTAGCTCCTAAAAGGACTGCTGGAAAAAAAAATAAACAGTAATATGGGTAGGGGTCGTTTTGATAATGACTTGCCTTATATGGGCCAGTAGGCCTTCTGCAGTGTTCCTCCATTCTTATGTTCTTATTGATTAAAGAAAATGTCGAATATATTTTGGTTTCTCAAACCAAAGTTTAAAAGAATGTTTGATAATTATTAGCAAACGAGTATGAAGAACAACAATACAGATAGGATCTAGCAAATCCATTGCCCATCATAGTGATGTGTGTCAAATAAAACACATTTGTCGAGAAAGTAATGAGAACATTCGACTACTAGACGTTGTCACTGCCGGACTCAGGCTAGGCTACAAGTATCTCGAGCAGTTCAGTTTTGTATGGAAATATGAATCACCCGAAATGTAAAGTGTGGCCAGAGACATGGCTATACAATAGAAAGGTATATCTTAAGAGTGTCCAGAAATCCAGTCATTTAGACATGCTCAAGTAAACCCTAAATGAAATGACAAATCACTTCTTTGTTAATTATAAAATATCTGAAATATTAAGATTGCACCCATATGAATTGGATATGCGAGTGAAGCTGTTATGTGATTATATAGAATTCTAGATTGTAACCTTATATTGACTCACGAAATCGTAATGACGCGATTGCAAACAAACCATACCACGGCCGGGATTGAACCCGCGGTCAGAGAGTCTCAAAACTCCAAGCCCGTCGCGTTAGCCACTAGACCAGCTAGCCACAATAAAATTCGTCCAACTAGGTATATTTCTACACCATAGGAAGGTTAGCACAGGCACCACTGTGACCACAAATGAAAGTTTTTACAGACGAATCTCCAGCTAGCATGGCCGTGACGAACTCTAGCTCAAGTCCCTTCACTGCCGTCAACATGACTCTGACTTGAGCTAGAGCTAGCTGGAGATTCGTATGTAAAAACTTGCATTTGTGGTCACAGAGGTGCCTGTGCTAACCTTCCTATGGTGTAGAAATATACCTAGTTGGATGAATCTTATTGTGGCTAGCTGGTCTAGTGGCTAACGCGACGGGCTGGAGTTTTGAGACTCTCTGACCGCGGGTTCAATCCCGGCCGGGGTATGGTTTATATTGACCAATATTTATGTGGTGTACTTGAGTTTATATTAGTTATGTAAAAAAATTGTAATACATGAAATGACTAATATTTTTAAAGATGTAACTATGTCCAGTGGGATCTGATAAAGCCTCTCCTTCTTACCTTCCATTTTCCCCTCCATCTCCGCCACTCTCACCTCAACATCCTCTCCTAATCCACCAAAATCACCTCCACACACACACCACTTCGTTCTCTCCCCCCTCTACCACTCCTTTGCCCTCCACCACCTCCACTCCCCCTCTACCACTTCCTTCCCCCCACCACCACAGCCTCCTCCTTCTCCCTCTACCACTTCCTTGCCCCTCACCACCACCGCGTCCTCCTTCTCCCTCTACCACTTCCTTGCCCCTCACCACCTCATTCCCCTCTCAGTCGCGCCTGTATGAGCAGAATCCCAATTAATGTCAAAGCAGGGCGTGAAGACAAATTAATTACGAGTAGGAAGTGACAGGCGAGTCGATGTTGAGACGATGCTCTTCTCTCTTCAGGTGTCCCACGATATCTCTAGTGAGTCAGTGTTGAGAGGATTCTCCTCTCGTCTTTTCTGTTCCAAGACGTTTCAAGTGAGTGAGACATGCTTAGACGATGCTCTCATTTTCAATTTTTTTTATTAAGTAAAATTGGATATCAAAAGCAATATGGTGCTACCCTAATCTACATCACGAGGTAAAATATTAGGTATTTTTTTCCCTGTCATATTCCATCACATAGGATGGAATACATACATAGGGAGGGTTGCAGTGTGTCAGTCTGTGCTGGGAAACTTAAATAGGTACATCTAACTACGTATATACATTAATTTTAATGAATAACAGTACAGTGTCATTATATACCTAAGAATACTATACGAAGGTTGACCCAAAATAAATTGGACAGGACTAAGCTGCATAATATTACATTAATTCCGTAATTTACTAGTGAGGTCACATATGGACCCACATGTATATACATATGTTAATTTGTAAAGAACAAGTAGGCACATTACCGTGACTAGAACAATACACAAATAACCGGCACATAGGAGAGAGAAACTTATGACGACGTTACGGTCCGATTTGGACCATTATTGTTTCTCTGTTGTCTCTTTGTCCCGCCTCTGTCTTCATCTCGTATATATACAGGCTCCCTTACCACTGTGTGTTGTTACTATTTAATGGTACAAGTCGGACCGAAACGTCGTTATGAGTTTGTGCATTTTCAAGAAAAGTTGGAAGATGGATCTATAACTTCCTGACAAATAAACACAAAGAGTAATTAATATTAAACAGGGTAAAGTGTGAGGCAGCTACGGTGAAAAACTATTCCACAAGGCACAGTACTTGCTCCCAGCCTATTCCTCATCCTCATATCTGACATAGACAGAGATGTAAGCCATAGTTCCGTGTCTTCCTTTGCGGATGACACCCGGACTGCCATGACAGTGTCCTGCATCAAAGACACCGCAAGACTACAAACGGACATCAGCTAAATCTTCAAATGGACCACTCAAAACAATATGAAGTTCAATGAAGAGAAATTTCAACTACTCAGATATGGAAAACTTAAGGAAGTTAAACCTGTATCAGGGTATACGACAAATTCTATCCATGCAATAGAGCGAAAAAGTAATGTAAACGACCTGGAAGTGATAATGTCATAGGATCTCACCTTCAAAGACCACAACAATGTATCTACCGCATCTGCTAGGAAAATGATAGGATGGATAATGAGAACCTTCAAAACTAGGGATGCCAAGCCCATGATGATTCTCTTCAAATCACTTGTTCTCTCTAGGCTAGAATACTGCTGTACACTAACGGCCCCCTTATAGGCAGGCGAAATTGCTGACCTGGAGAGTGTATAAAGAACTTTCACGGAACACATAAGTACGATAAGGCACCTAAATTACTGGGAACGGTTAAAGGCCCTTGATCTGTATTCCCTGGAGCGCAGGCGAGAGATATACATGATAATATACACTTGGAAAATCCTAGAGGGATTAGTACCAAACTTGCACACGAAAATCACTCCCTATAAAAACAAAAGACTCGGCAGGAGATGCAACAGTCCTCCACTGAAAAGCAGGGGAGCCACAAGTACACTGAGAACAACACAATAAGTCTCTGGGGCCCAAGACTGTTCAACTGCCTCCCGGCATACATAAGGGGGATTACCAATAGACCCCTGGCTGTCTTCAAGAAGGCACTGGACAGGTACCTAAAGTCAGTTTCTGACCAGCCGGGTTGTGGTTCGTATGTCTGTTTGCATGTAGCCAGCAGTAACAGCCTGGTTGATCAGACCCTAATCCACCACGAAGCCACGAAACCCTCTCCAGGTAAACTCCAGGTATGTGTCTAAGTAGCGGGAGGGGGTAAAGAAAACTGTGCGAGGTATTGGACATCCAACAGGCGAGTGAAAGCATGTTAGAAAGGAGTGGAGGCAAGTGTTTTTTATGACTTGACGTGCTGTTGGAGACTGAGCAAGGTAACATTTATGAAGGAGATTCAGGGAAACGGGATAGCCGGACTTGAGTCCTGGAGGACGAGGAACAGAACCTGAAGTCTGAAGGTGGGAGTGGGGATATTGCAGTTTGGAGAGGCATCTGAACTGTAGTATCGTCGCACCTCTGGCAAAGTAGTAATAGAGTGGTGGTGAAAGTGTTTCTTCTTCAATTATATATATATATATATATATATATATATAATATATATATATATATATATATATATAATATATATATATATATATATATATATATATATATATATATATATATATATATATATATATATATCTGTGCCATACTCATAGTGGATGGTGGTGGCATAGGGAAGTATAGGCGCAGCCAGGGATGCTGCCACAGCCCAGATGAAGCAAACAAGTCCTCGACACATCCAGACAGACATCCTGGGTTTGAGGGGCCTCATCACCTGCAAGAACCTGCGGAAGATGTCAGAGGTAAATGTCAGGTGTTGGGTGAGAGTCGGAAAGAACCGAAATGTGTCACTGTAGCTTATTTTATCTTTTCGAGGACATCGCTGATGACATCGTTTAAATAAGCAAGAAAGAAAATGTTGTAAACTAATTGATGTCTTATGTTTTGTCAGCGTTGCCCCTATTACAGTTTACAAATTACGTTTCATTATTTGTCAGCCACAAGTTTTCAACAGTATCTTGCTCCTGTTAATTAAATACTTTCAGTCAATGACAACAAATTTCCAGCATTATTATCCTTTTAATAAAAATATTTTCAGGTGAATAATTAGAGGTGTTTTTAAGTTACAGTTGGGTGGCTTGCCACCCCTCATCCCCTCCCCAGCAAGGGCGCCAGACGAGCCTGGACCAAGACCGGGCTCTGGGAGTAAAAAAAAATTATAGATTTAATAATATCCTCGAAAATTATTATAATCTTGCCAAGTTTCAGTTTTTCCTGGCACATATGTGCCAAACCGAGCTCGAGAAAGTAAAAACACTCACCTAGGACAGAGGGGAAAGGAACTCTACTTATCTAGAATTCATCTAGATGGGAATGGGTATACTCCTCACCTAGGAAAGTGAGGTGTATGTAGGACTTACCTAGGAGGGAGTGTGTCTGAGACTCACCTGTCGAAGGAGATGACTGCAAGAGTGAAGACAGAAGCGGCAAGGGAAGCGTGAGCCACAAACTGTGACACAGTGCAGTAAACACTACCGAACCCCCAGTGCCTGACACAAGGAAAAAAAATGAGACTTTTGGTGTTTGAGAATGTTACAAGGAAAAACGGGAAGTTAGCGTGCGAAGTTATGTACATAAATAAAGTAAATACGGCGGAGTGAACGAAAGACTGTGAGAAGAAATCTTTTCTTTAGAGAAGAAAGAAAAAAGAAATATTTCTGAGAAAAGGACGAAAATTTATGGCGAAAACCTATGAATTATGAATCATATAAAAACGTAATAAACTATTAAAAAGATTAGATACAAAAAAAAAGACGAATTATGTTAAACGAGAGAGTAAAAAAATAGAGCACTTGACAAGGCTGAAAAACTTCAGAAAAAATATGAAAAAACTAAAGCAATAATGATTTTTTCTCACAGATAACAAAAAAAATGTCAAACAAAAGTTTTATAATGAAGTATTTTAAAATAATTTTGTTTTTGAACAAAGAATTATGAAAAGTCACGTAAACAGTCGAGGATTTATGAGACAAATGAAGATTTTAAAGCGACTGTGATAGAGGAGCAGACCAGAGTATGACTGGACTGAACTGTACCTGGAATAGCTTCCAGAGGTCACCATCCCCGCGGCCCGGTCCCAGACCAGGCTTCCTGGTTGTTGGCCTGATTGATCAAGCTCTAAGTGCTTGCCTCTTGCAGTCCAATGTATGCATCACGAACCGGTTGATCAGTAACTGTTATCTTCCCCTCACACACCTGTGTCCATACATTGTGTTGTGAGTGAAGGTCTCTCCTAGTGTTAATTGTGACGGTGTTCTCACATGGGATGTGACAATGGTCACATATGGGGTACAGATCTCACAGCAGAATTGTGTGGCACAGATTTGTTCAGAAGTGAACCTGCTGTGCCACTCAGTGTCCTAGGATAGTGTTGTTCTTTCACTAAAGTTTCCCGGGACGGGACTGTGTTATCATTCACGGGGATATTTATCAATGGATCGCCAATCTCTCCTTCGCCCTGTTTCCAGAACCCGTTACCTTTAATACAGTCCAATAGTTACACAACAGTAACAACAACAACAGTAACTTTGAAGACGGACGGTTCAGGGTGAGTAAGGCACAAGTCAAGTCGCCGGTAATTATAACTCAGGGTGATTAGGAGATGCAATCTCTGTAAGTTTGTGGGTAGTTAGTGCAATACTGCAATTACTGCATAAACCAGTTACGGTGGTGGTGGCGGCTTATGTTACTGGGTACATTTGTTTACGTTATTGATAATTTCCGACGTTACTAAGTGTACTTGTGTATAATATTGAGCCAAACTGTAAGACTGGGATAGGTTCCTTATACCATGACTAAAACTGGCTCAGTTTAACTTCCTTATAGTTATAGGATTGGTAACGTTGCTCATTTCTATGACAATTTTCACTTAACCTAACAAAGCTAGAAGAGAGTTGGACTGAGAACGGATATGATTATGGCATACAAAATACTAGGAAGATTATTAGATTGGATATGGAGTGGCTGAAAGAGTGTCATGAAACACAGAAGTCAGGTAAAAAAAAAAAAAAAAACAGAAGAGAAGGGACAAGAGGAACTTTTTTTTTTTCAGCCTTAAGGTAGTAAGTGAAATACGCTAGTGGATGACCAGGCGGAGACGAACACCATTCACATTTACAAGATAAATATGATTGGGAACTGGAGAACATGAATCAATAAAGTTAATTGAGACGCAGAGCCAGGAGCTATAAATCAACTCCTGCAAATACTAGGGAAGTACACACACACACACACACACACACACACACACACACACACACACACACACACACAAACACCAGAGCTAAGGGGAATGTCCTATGAAGAAAGGTTAAGGGAAATCGGTCTGACAATACTGGAGGACAAGAGAGTCAGGGGAGACATGATAACGACATACAAAATACTGCGTGGAATAGACAAGGTGGACAGAGACAGGATGTTCCAGAGATGGGACACAAACAAGGGGTCACAATTGGAAGCTGAAGGCTCAGGTGAGTCAAAGGGATGTTAGGAAGTATTTCTTCAGTCATAGAGTAGTTAGGAAGTGGAACAGTCCGGCAAGCGATGTAGTGGAGGGAGGAACTATACATAATTTTAAGACGAGGTATGATAAAGCTCATGGAGCAGGGGGAGAGAGGACCTAGTAGCGGTCGGTGAAGAGGCGGGGCCAGGAACTGAGTCTCGATCCCTGCAGCCACAATTAGGTGAGTACACACACACACACACACACACACACACACATAAGAGACAAGCACGTAAGTTGAGACTGCAGCATTATTATTATTATAATCAATGGGGAAGCGCTAAACCCGGAGGATTATACAGCGCCTGGGGGGGGGATGTGGAAGGCATTCAGGCTTAATTCGGGGAACTGGAGCACAGATCCAATTCCCTAAATCAAGAGCCCCTCACCAACATCAAGGAACCTTCCCTGAGGGGACTGAGACTGCAGCAGAACTCAGTGAAAAATACACTCAACTTCCCGCAATTAAGGAATCACAATACATAGTGACGCGAGTAACCTCGTAGTTGACTAACCCCTTTAGCATGAAGACGAAATTGAAGACGCAGTTGAAGAGTGTCATGAAGAGATCAGCCACCGACAGGTTGACCAGGAAGTAGTTAGTGGTGGTTCTCATCCGCTGGTTACCTGTGGGAGAAGTAATAGGAAAAGATAGGTTGTGAGGCACTCGTTCACTGAGTGCTGGTTATATGTGAGAGAGAAGGAAGGAAAGTGAAACACATACCTCACCTAGTGGGTCGGAGCATTGTTTCATTCGCAATAGTGTGATATTTCACTCTGAAATGGCAAGAGTGAAGGTACACCTGTCACTCGAGTTGGCACTGGAAAATATGTAACTTTGACGGAGTAACAACACGATTACAGCAAATCACTGGTTCGTGAGTCATGAAGGCGGCTTTGTAGAGATTTGAGCTAGAGTAAGTAAGTAAGTAAGTAAGTTTATTCAGGTATACACAAATACAGTTACATAGAATTATCATACATAGCAGCATATGTGTAGAGAACCTACGATAACCCAAAAAAGTCAGACAGAGTGACCAGCTACGCTGGTGACGGATTCATCTGTAATAACCTGCATTTGTGGTCACAGTGGTGGCCTATGCTAACCTCCCTATGGTGTATAGAAATATACTAACTGGATGAAACTTATTAAAGCCAGTTGGCCGAGTGGTTAACGTACTGGCCTGTGAGTTTTAAACTCACTCGCCACTTGTTCATGCCCCACTCGTTCCGTGATTTGATTTCACGGAGCACTGGTCGTAATAGTAAACATTTGGTTTCGTGTCCGTTTTCAATAGGTTCATTTTCCGACTCGTGAAATCGTAATTTTACCATTGTAAACAACTCTTGTAAGCAATTGCATATATAGTTACTACCAACTGTAGTCAGATGAATCTTATTTGACCGGCATGGTACAGGGAATAATGCACTGGCCTGCTAATTTTAGGACTGACACACTATTGGTTCAAACCTTCCGTTCGGTGAGCTGTAGTTTTATGGAGTGAAATATGACAAGAGGCGGTAGTGTAGCCACTCTACTAAAAATGTTATTTTTTCCTAGCTATTTGAAGCTCTTATCCAACTATTTTTGTTTACAGGAAGACACAGACGCGGTTTGCGGTTAATCTATAAATCAACACTACCAAAGAAAAAGGAACATCAACTTAAATGAACATGGAAAAGGTCGAGCAGAAGTCTGTGTTCCATTGGTCTATCCTAAATGCGTCTTGTATATTTTATAATCATTCACAAAAGAGCGATGGTGCGTCGGTGGGTTTCTTTAATAAAAATACTTCAGATTTCCAGCATTCTTTCTTGGCTAATAGGAAAGAGCTCCCGTGTGAGTGTCACTCTCTGGGCTGTTGCACAGTAAGAGTTAGTTCTTATTCAGCCTAAGGCTCAATCTCTGTGATGTAATATATTGTTGATATAAAACAATGGGAGGCAGCGATTCAGCATCCGAGATACATTCACCTTGTTAAATTGTGTTTACGTCGTGTAGATGAAGTGTTTGTGTATAAGGAGCTACGTATAATGATAGTTGATCGCAGTTGTCTGAGTCCCTGTGGTAGCGGAGTGTTATTTTCAAGATAAATACTATAAACAAGATACAAGTGCAGCACTTGGACGTTTATTATATAAAAAAAAGTATCACTAATCAGAAGCTTTTTCAGTCCGATAGTTTTAATTCGTTCGATGCCCTGGCTAAATAAATATTACCCGTCAAGACTAGTCGATGAGGTGACTTCAGTTCCTGACTATCTCTCTCTCTCTCTTTCTCTCTTTCCCTTTCTCTCTCTCTCTCTCTCCTTCAGTTACCTCGTTTTCCATCTCCCTCCCTCTTCATCTTCCTTTCTTCACAACTGTCTCCTATTCCCTCTCATTGTTCATCCATTTCTCAAGATTTCTTCTATCTCCCCTTCCCCTCATCTCCATCTCCTCCCTCCCGGCTTTCCTTCTCCCTCTCCGTATCGTACCTTTCCTCTACCTCCCCCTCTCATCACCATTATCTGCCCAGTGTAGCCTAACAAGCCAGATAATTACTGTTACTTGCCAAATACAGCTGTGTCGTCACAGCTGTCTGAGCAGTGAAGTGAACATATCATACACTCTCAGTGAAACGAATGCACATCCTACGCACACAGGGAAGTGAATGCCAATCCCTCAGGGATTGGCATTCACAACCCGACCACAATCACACGAGTTGTGTGATTGTGGTCGGGTTGTTTTGGTCTCCATTTCTCCCGGGAAGGACTCGATGTGGCACCATCTAGTGCTAGTAGGATTTCTTTTTCCGTTCTTTTCATTTTTTTTTCTTTCTCGGAGGAAGGTGTCCACTGACCCCTCATTTCACCTACACTCGTCCTGCACTCCAAAGCAGCGTTATTTCTCTGCCTGTTATTTTTGGTGCTGGAATATTGCGTTGACGGCTTCAAGCAGAGTTCTTTGTAGAGTTTTTTTTACGTTTGCAAGTAGAGTTGATTGCAGCTTCAAGCAGAGTTCTTTTCGGTTTCAGGTAGAGTTTTTTTATGACCTCAGCGTTGTTTGTTAAGCCTTTGTGTTGTTACACAAGTCTCGGCTCATGGACTGGTTATCCATAAGGAGAGAGCAGGAATTTTCTCTACGTACTGACATTGTGTACACACTGCAGTGTGGTTTCGACGCTTCGTCTTCTCAAATACTAAAAGAATCTAGTCCCAGCGGTGGGTTCGACAGCCTGGAAACACTCCCAGCCCTTGATTATCCACATTAACAGGAGGCTGCCTTCATTCACCGGTCTATAGTCTACCTGAGACTCAACTTGGTACATTTTATCAAGACAGAGAAGTATTGATGCTCGTCACCTATGGTGAAACTCCAGTTTATAAGTTTCCTGGTAGAGGTAAGACTGTCAACATCTCAGTGACATCTCGACTTATATTTTGTGATCGATCCTCCGGATGAGGAATTATTTTTACTTTAATATTTGTATTAACTTTTCTAAGTCTGTTTTTGTTATTTGTGTTTTGCAGCCAGGTTAGGACTATTTAATGAAGGTCTTGCTTAATTATATTGCTCAATTCATTTAATCAACATTTGAGTATTTTTTTTTTCACTATTTATTATCTATAGGGGAAGCCCAATGCTCTCTTTTCACACTGACACTCAGGGAAGTCAATAAGTAAATCCACACTCTACTCTCCAAGGGAAGCGAATAGACATCCTACGCTCTTATGGAAGTTCATGCACATCCTATGCTCTGAAGGATGGGAACTAGGCTCTCAGAGATGTGCTCCCACATTACTCTCTCTCTCAGGCATATCAACACACATTACAAATTCAGAAATGTACATAATGCACTCTCAGACATGCGGACATACATTTCATACTCAGGGATGGGCCACCTCTGGTGTAATAAACGCAGTTGCAAAACAAAAACAGAGGAAAGAAATATATTGGCTAATGAGAGGATTGACATACACAGGGACATCATCACCCGTGGCTTTGTTCCACAGAGCGTCACACAATCAGTCATTAAATCCAGAGATGATTGCCGGCATATTTTGTTTTCCCAAAATAGCTACAATAAATATCCTAATTTCCTGGGGAATACCAGAATACAATGACGGGATACATTATTACTCTGTGTTTGTGTCCGTGATGACTGACAGGTCACTGACATCACAAAACTGTAGAAACATCAGCATAATTGACGATAACTGCCAGTAAATATTTATGCTACTACTACTACTACTTTTTAGTACTTTTGGCACCTTTATAATACTTTCAGGTATCTTTTTCAGAAGTTTCCAGGGTTAATGCATCTGGGCATTAATAATGACATCTTTGTCACGCTACACTTTCACATATTAATCTGGACACACTTATTAACCTTCCCCTTCCTATAAAAATACCCCCTAACGAAATATCCCTTAAAAACCGTAATCAATCCTCTAAGGCCGGAGTCTCCAAAGTGCGGCCCACAACGAGATTTTATGCGGCCCTCAGCAACTTGAAATGCTTATAAATAGTAAAACTAATAAACGCTAAGGATTTTGTTGCTTGTAACAATTTATATGTCAAAATTTGTTCAAATTTTAGTTCTAATCTTTCATTTTTCATATATACCCTTCAGTTATGGAAGGAAAAAAGAACAGCGTAGAGTGAATGCCGTCTGTTTAATGAAGAATGGGGTGTAAAAGTGCTTCTTTATACCAGCAGGTGATAAAGCCTTGTGTGTCGTATGCCAGGAAACTGTTGCAGTTTTGAAGGAGTACAGTGTACCCCGGCACTATGAGACCAAACATAAACCATGTTATTCCCAATTCACAGGAGCACAGAGTTCGGAAAAATCCGAATCAATGCAACGTAGGTTACTTTCCCAACAATTCTTTTTACGTAGAAGAGAGCTGAAAATGAAGCTTTAACCAGGACCAGTTACAAAGTAGCTTATGTATTGGCTAAAAGAGAAAACTCATTCCCCGGTGGAGACCTGATCAAAAAGTGTGTGATGGAAGCAATGGAAAAGTTATGTCCAGAAAAACAAATCTCTTGAAAATCCTCAGTCTTGCTCCAAATATTGTTGCTCGTAGAACTGAGGACATTCGAAGCAATATATTTCATCAAATCACAGAAAAAGCATGAAAATTTCCGTTTTATTCTCTCGCGCTTGATGAATCGAATGATGTGAATGACATATTACAACTCCTGGTATTCATCCGTGGCGTCCACAATGAATTTAATGTCATACAAGAATTAGCATCAACGTATATCATGCACAGCACAGGAATCGTATTAGAATATAAACTGAAGTGGAATTAAATTGCAAATGTGTGACAACTGATGGAGGAAAGAACATGTCTGGGGTGAACAGAGGGTTCACTTGGACAAATCACAAAAGTTTGTGAGGATGGTGGATTCTCAAAGCCAATGTTTCCGCATTGCGTTATCCACCAGCAAGCACTGACACTCTCAAGTCAGTTTCAGATGGAAATTATTGATCTCCAATCAGATGGCATGCTGAAAGAAAAGTATAAAGAAGGAATTCTGATCCAGCTTTATAAATCTTTACAGCCTGAACTGTTTCCAGATTTGAAGCGATATGCTTGTGGATTCGTAACAGTTCTAGATACAACGTACCTTTGTGG